TAAGTCAAGCAGAAAGCCACTTAAGTGACACTTTCGGAATCCTAACTTAAGCAACAAACAACGTTGATCGCCTACCACAACTGTGTTCAGATAACTATTGTTTCTGACCAGTACGAACTTCAGACATAAAGAAAGACATTATATGACTTGGCATCTACCGAGCTCAATGGCGTACATGTCTGCGTCTCAACGAACGTAAAAAGAGTTTAGCAACAAGGCTATTACGAGTGCAACTCGACAGTGAGAGCACTAAGGCCGTTTTCATTGAGAAACTGGCTAGGCAGTTGTGGGAACAGAACACTATCACTTATTCAGAAGAAGCTTGACACCTCCAGTCTGCCGTAAAAACAGCGTTGACTGACTTCCAAGAAGTGGTTAAAAAGAGTCAGTGGATTTCAGCACCTTTTTCTGAACTCTAATGGATGCACACAAATACACCCCTCCAGGTTTCGAGTGCAATGAAGAGCGGAAGCGACTTAAGAGCAAACTAATGAAAAGTCTACACTATGACCGCGAACAGTAGTAGACAGTGAAGGCTAAAAAGATGGCAAAGGCAGCAGTGATAATTAACAGTAGGCAGTAGGCAGAAACTAGGGCAAAAATGGATCTGTGGTTCACTCACTGAGGGGACGATTGGAACCATGGGGGGAGACCCCTCGAGGAACAGTCCTTCTGGCCTATAGCTACTATTCTGTTTCGCGTTATCCAGTCGAAGCCTGAATGGGACATCAAGATAGGATCCCCCTAACACTTACAGAAGTCGAAAAAAGAGCAAATAATCTAAAACGCCAAAGGTTAGAAAGGTCGGATCAACTGAGTTATTAGCTAGTGTATGGGAGCCAGATATAATCCGCTCTACTTGGTTTCAGTTACTGGTTGCCTTAGTCTTCGAGAAGTGCGTAAAATTCTTCTTTGATAACGATAGGGGAGTCAGCCTGACAAACTTAGTGTCTACGGTTCTGGGTTTGATAACTGTTGGACGTCTAAATGGAGCTCAGAAACGAAGAACTCGAGAACCCCAGGCAGGTTTCAGACTTGGTCGTTGGTGTATTGACCAGATATTCACTCTCCGTCAGGTTCTAAATAGAACACTAGCGCATTTACCGACGCCCGATAATGGCTGTATTTCTCGACCCGAAGGAGATATTCGTCTCCGTTGATCGAGAAGTCCTATGTCAATGTCTCTCACTGGAACGAATGCCGAGTAAGTACACACTCTATTGAAGGCTGTGTACTTGAACACCCGCGAGTGTTGGCGTCACTTATGGAAATCTATGAGGTGAGTTGTTTACTTCAAGTGGTGTTCGTTAGGGATGTCAACTCTCGCCATTCCTAATTGTCTTTATCATATATGTACTTATGGATCTTCCCGTTGTCGTCTGACTCTACATGGATTGGTCTTATCACAGGAGAATCTTTGGTAGATATACGCAGATGATATAGTCCTTTTAGGTGAAGATCCTACTATGATATAGTCTTCTAAACACCTTGAGTAGCGATTTGGGATGTTTGGCATTGTTTGGGATGCGTTTTTCGCCACCCAAATGCAAATTGTTTCTCTAGGACTGGTCTTCAGCAGTGCCCTGTCTAACGATAAGGAGTGAATTGGTTGTGTGTTGAAGACTTCACTGACCTGGAAAGTCAGATCAACCCTGGTGGCTCAGTGGCCGCTGAAATCTCTGCGCGGATGCAAAAGCTTCAACTAGCTTTTTTCAATTTACGCCATCTGTGGCGCCGCTGCTATATTCGATTGTTTATTAGGAGTCGAGTGTACTGGGTCTCAGTTCGCTCTGTTCTACTGCATCACTGTGTAACATAGCCAGTAAGGGTAGAGAAAATGAGGTTTCATGTGTTTGACCACCGTTGACTTCGTAGCATAGACCGTGTGTCGTAATGTCATCACGTTAGTAATGCAAAAGTCAGGTGTAGAGTTAAGGGAGAAGAGGAAAGTCAGTTGATGTGGTTGTGAATCTCCATCGACTGAAATGTCTGGAACACATGTTACGCGCATCTAGTCACTGTTTGCTTCGTGGCCATGATGTTAACTGAAGTGGTTTCAGGCTGGAAAAAGGCTCAGGGTGACCGGACCAAAATTTTGCATCACTGCATTAAATCTTTGTTAGTGTGAACCATGTAGGAAAATTCAGACTTCCTAGTTGAGGTTCACGTGACAACAGAAACCAATGGTTAAAAATTCTAGATCATATGGATGAGGATCGATGTCAGTGGCGCAGATGTATTAACACATTATCTTCATTTTAACCATCAGACTGAATTCAACATTTCCCATTAATCCTTCATCTTTTACTGCTGTCGACCGATTCTTCTTTATTACTTCATCTTTCATGTTGATATGCTTACATGAGATTAGTCAACTTGGACCGTTACACAGGATTGCCTGGTCCTATGTTGATATTGATAATGATCTGTCCTGCAACTCACACTTATGTTGAGAAGGCTATTTCTAACCCGAAACATGCAAAGCAGCAAGACCCAGTGGTTCGCCACCATAATTTTTCAAGGATGGAGGTAGGAGATTACTGAAAATAACAGAGGTACTAGATAGCATTTGGTAATCGGAGATAATCCTTTCAGAATAGATTACTTCACTGATCATCCCAGTCCATAAAAAAGGAGAGAAGTCTTGTTGCAATTACAGGGGGATCAGTCTAATTAACATTGGATCCAAGATCTTCTACTGCATAGTTAGCCAGTATTTAACTGGCAGTGGAGAACAACAAATCCGAGAGAACCAGGCGGGTTTCCGATCTGAATGAGTGAGACCAGGTCAGATTTTCACCCTTTAACGAGTTTCGCAACTAGGGCATACCTGTTGGCGATCGACACTTGCTGTATTCCTTGATCCGCAGGCTACATTCGAATCTGTTGACTGTTGTTACGGTTTCTGAGTGTGAAAGAAGCAAGTATCTGGTGCTACTCTAAGTTCTGTACTCGAACTCACTTAGCTGTGTATGGGCTTAATGAGTGTTTTCTTTTTAAGTAACGACATCAAATGGTATATTTCAGGGATGTCCACTTACACTGTTCTTGTTCAACTTTGCTATATGCGTTTTAACAGATATAACTCTACGTACCTTCGACTTCTCAGGTATTCACTCACCTCCTGGAGGGCATCCAAGTGACTTGGAGTGTGTAGACTACATTGTCCTTTTGGCGAAGACTCTGTCAAAGTTCAGAGTTTTCTGAACCAATGGAGTGGAAACTGAGTATTTTTGGAATGTATTTCGTTCTTCCTGAATGCAAGATAGTGCTTCTGGACTGTTCAGCAGCTACTTCCAGTCTATGGATAGGAAATGAAAAGGTAGAATACGTTAACTTCATTTGTTTAGGGAGATGCATCAAATCGTGGGGTTTGTTGCTGACTAAATATCAGCTTGGATGCGAAAAACCCGTTTCTTATTTCCAACCTAGCGTCAATTATTTCATTGGCAAGACATGCAACTACTTATCAGCGTTCGGGTATACTGTGCAGCGGTTCTGTTGTACAACTGGCCGTTTGAAATAAAAAATAAGAAGTAGAAGTTCCCGTTCATATATGCCTACATGTAACATCCCTGGCGTGTACAGTATAAAGGTTAAACACAGAGTACTATGTAAAGTAGGCAATTCAGTTCATGATGTTGTTAATCTTCACCGGCTAAGATAGCTTGGGCAAGCCGTGTCACCGCCTACCTCACCATGCCATTTAGTGTTTGCTTGTTAAAAGGGTAAAAGTGATATGACCGAGACATGGAGCCTGTACATGAAGTTTATGACTGTTGCTCTGAACTGTGTAAGGAAACATAGGGTGTCTTGTGGAGATTCTGTAGCTATTAGAAGTCAGTAGTAAGAGACTTTTTATGTTAGGGTTTGAAATTGATCACAGTAGCACGGGTATATGCACTAGTATTCATATTCGAAGTCTTCAACATTTCATTAACCTTCATCAGCAGATTTTCTCCCCGTATACCTTGGTCTACTTTTATTTCATTCATTTTTTACCCACTTTTTCTTAAATACCTTTGTAAACTGTGGCAACTGGAACTGAGACAATTGTAAGTCAGGTTTTTCCTCTATCTGTCTGTTTTGAACAACAACGTATTGATTACATTTTTACCCTAGATAAATTCTGGCATATATGTATACTTACGGGCACGTAACATTATATCTTAAAATCGAGACGAAATTCAACTTGACTGGCAAGGCAATTTCGACTGTTTAACTTTATGAAGTATCAAGCAGGTATGCTGTACCGATAGGTTGGCCTCTACTCGAACTCATACTGTCTTTTATGGGCTTACAGAGATTTTTTATCTAAGTTGTAGTGACTCAGTCATTATCTGGGATTCCTGTTTAACTTCATTTGATTTACTACCCGGAGAGTATCTGATTGGTTTAGAGTACATAGATGCCATAGTTGTGTTAGGAAAGGATAATTGAGCAATTTTCTGACTACCTTACTGTAAGATTATGCTGCAGGACTGATCTGTACTGTTTCAAGGACACAATGTGAATTACTCAAGTATTTAGAAATTTGCGTCTACTATATCGTACTGGTTGCTGGTGAGATCTCAGCTCAAATGCATTAGGTCTGTTCAGCATTTACGAGCTTTTTAGTACTTTTGGTGCTGCTGATATGCAAGACTGTTTATCACAGTGTACTGTATACTGGTTGGCTCTGTCGTACTTCTAGGCTGCAAGATATCGTTGAATGCAAAAAATTAACGTGTAAATTTTGGAGCATTCATAGCACATTAGGCGTTAACACCAATTGTTCATGTATGTGCAACGCTTATATTATTTTAATCACCGTAGGTTCAGGACTTTCTGTAATTTGCGTTCTTGTCTCTAATGTCTTCTAAATAATCCATAAGTTATAACTGCATTTGACTTGCTTGCAAAACAGAACAGTTCACTTTATTCAACTAATTAAGGTAGACGCGATCATCAAAAAAACTTTTTGTGCTGTGAAATATCTTTCAGCGAACCGTCTCAGTAATATGGATCAGAGCACCGATAGTCAAGGGGAAGAATCCAGTTATCAAGAACCTTCTTACTATGAAGGACTAGATGGTTCATTGCAAGATCATGATGCGGACTACCAAGGAGGAGATATTGAACAACGATCACCCCTTCGTGAACAAGTTAGTTTTTTTTCACTAAAAACCTATCTCTTTGCAAGGATCGGTTCCTACCAATAGCCAACGTTGCAAAAATTATGAAAAGAGCTGTACCTGGAAATGGAAAAGTATTCACTTTTGAAATATTTTGACATATTTTCTATACTTATACTATAGATTGCAAAAGATGCTAAAGAATGCGTACAAGAATGCGTATCAGAATTCATTAGTTTCATTACTAGCGAGTGAGTATTTTTGTATTTACTCTTACATATGGTTAAAGAGCAGCTGATAAATGTCAAACTGAAAAGCGTAAAACTATTAACGGTGAGGATATCTTATGTGCAATGAATACACTTGGTTTCGATAACTACATTGAACCACTTAGGGCATTCCTGGTCAAATTTCGAGAGGTCAGTAGCCCCACTTTTCTAGTAGTATTTGGTAATTAATGCTTCTTTTGTACATATATTTCAACTTTTTAGAGATTTTATGTTGTATTACTCTTGTTTACATTACTAATAGCTATCGCTCTGATTATAATGTAATAGTAATGACAGTGCATATCGCACAAGACTATATTTCTACCCCAATCTAGCGGGCCATTCGTTTAAAAATATCATTCAGTCGTAAAAAGCTTTTCCGAAACTCTCCAATTGGCAAGCCCTAAATGGATTAGTTTGAAAGCTTTCGGGAATTGAATAGTTTCAGCTGCTAAACCTGATGGCCCTAGTTTCGATCTCTAGTGGGGGGGGGGGGGGTGAATGCATACTCCTTAGGGGAGTCCCTTGCTAGGGTGAAACAGTTGTCCATTGCTGCTACATTCTCAATAGTTCTCCAACTGTTATCAGTCTGTGGTGAATATTACCTTGATTAGTTACCTCTCTTGACATTATAGTTTACCTTGAATTGTAGCTGTGATGTATTCCCGATTCTGGTTAACGCAGAAGGCTCGAAATAATAAACCTGTATTTCGCTTACTCATAGAGGTGTTGAATACAAAGTGACTTGAAGTTTCCAAAAGCAGTTATTCAGTTCCTGATATCAAATAAACTCAGCTGCATGGTGCACTACAGCAGCATGTTTAGATTCTAGAATTAGACTTTCTCGATTTATTTTGTGAAATATGATTCCAGGCTCCATCTCGCAGTCAGAAATACGATGGGAATTCCCCGTGTGCTTTTTTTTTATTTAGTGGCTAGTTTACTATCAGGATGTAGGCAAGATTTCTCTAAAATCTACCTGTGTTTTATCTTCCTCAATAAACAGATTTCTGAGGCATTTTTTCAATAAATTTCTCATGTGTTGTGTAAAGTAAACTGACTAGGAATCTGTCATTATTTAGAGGTTTCCTATTCATGTGAACAGTAGGTTAATATAATACTAAATTTATCGAATGAAAGAATTTGGGTGGTTTTTCATCCAGTCATACTTCAATATCACAAATTTTATCTAAACATTCAAATTTACTGTCTTGGAATTGAATTACAAATTAAATTATTCGCACTTAGGATTGACTAGAACTAATACTCCAGACTGATGTGAGCATAGTAAGAATTGTAGTTGTAATGAGTGACTCTAAAGCCCCTCCTACAAGTGACTGAAATAACTAATCGAATCACTTTATTTCGGCTATGTTGTTATTTCCATTAAATAGAGGGTGGCGTTTAAAGTCGCTTATAATATGTACATTTTACACAGTGCCAAAAAACGGGTCATACATCCAGTTCTCCACAAAGTTTACATTCAAGGCTCATAGCATAATATATATGCACTTACACTAACATTGTTCCAGTAGCGTAGACTCACTTATACCTAGTTGATAACCAATAGAATAATGATATTTTTCAACGTCACATAGAGCAGCAATAATCAATAAGAATATCGTCATACATATGAGTGCTATTTGAGACCAGATACAAGTTTTGACTGACTCTGAAGGCCACAGCAGGAACCGATGAAATAACTAACTATATTTTCCTGTTGTGGCCGGAAAAAGCTTTTTCATGAATCAACAAACCTAGGTGGTTATTTCAGCAGTTACTATGGTGACCTCTACAGCCAACCCACACTCATACATGTGTCACGTCTTTATAAGTAGTCACAACCCATCACTGGATGCCTACTGTCACCATTCCTATGTAACTTCGCTATAGACGTACTAATGGACATGACTTTAAGTACGTCTGACTTCATACGGATTGCTCTACTCCCTGGTGGCCATCTGGTTAAATTGGAGTATGCAGACTATGTCGTTCTGCTAGGTTAAGACGCTGACAAAATGCAGGGTCTTGTGAACGTGTTGAGCAGAAATCTGAGTAAGTCTCCCGCCTGTGAAATACTCTAGGACTGATTTGTAGCTACTCCTAGTCTGCGGATAGGAAGTGAAGTGGTGAAATTCGGGAGTTGCATGAGCTCGAGCGGGCTGGTTGCTGACATCTCTGGTCGGATATAGAAGGTCGGTTTGACGTTTGCCAACTTACATCATCTGTGGCACCGAATGCGACTATCTACCAACGGACAAGTACACTGCACTACAGTCCGTTTTGTCCTGTGATACGGGTGTGAGACATGTCTGTTGAAAGTAGAAGACATGAAGTGGTTGCTAGGTTTTGATCATATTTGTCCTCGTAGCATTGTGTGCGTCTAGTGGAATCATCGTATGAGTAATGTTGAGGTGAGGGGAAATGTACTAGATGAAGTAGGAAAGCCGATTGATGAGGTTGTGAACCTTATTCGACTGAGGTGGCCTTGACATGAGTTGGACATGCCTTCTCACCACCTACCTCAACGTGTCCTGCTAGGTTGGTGGTGGGTTAAAGTGGAAGAGGGTTTAGGGTGGCTAGACCAGTCGATGAAGTCTCTGATTGTTGGTGTGAGCCTTGTGTGGAGATGTGGACTATGTGGCTGAGGTTGTCAAGATGAAAGGAATCGGTGGTTGAGGACTGTATGTGACGTGGTTGAAAATCTGTGTGAGTGTTGCAGGTGTATTAACTCTTTGGTGTCTTCTAAAGCCTACATGTTTGCGTTAACATTTTCTCTTTAAATTGCTTAATCTTTCAGCAAACTTCGTCTACCTTGATGTAACTCTTTTTCTATGACACTGGTCATGTAGATTGTATCATACTGAAATAGGATATGAGTTATAATCTAGACTGTTACTTATTTTATAACTTTCCACTCACTTGACGCATAGAATGCATACCATGGCTGAATGACTATTAAGAATTTCGTCTTTGTCATTTCCTATTTAGCTTGTTCGTTTATTTTTATCTCTACCTTTTTTTTTACATTACCCCTTTTTACTATCCTTTCTTAGATAAGCAAACTTGAGTCTTGCTTTATCGATGAATCACCTGTTCCAAATACAGTGTCTACAGTTTCGCCTGCAGTTGGTTCAGCTGTAATATTGACTCCTACACTATTGTCAACTAGCAGCAGTAGTTTAACAAGTATGCCATCCCGATCCATTACTGGTAGACAGTATACTATTGTTAATGGATCAAATGATATTCAAAGCAATAATGTTCACTCTGTATCGAGTGCAGATATCAAAGTAGGCACTTCAGCAATCACTGCCCTGGGGACTCCTGTGTCCACTTCTCTAGGGACAACAATCATCCTGCCAATATCAACTCCTGTAAGTCCCATATAAAATGAAAGTTTTATAGTCGATTAAAGTTGTCCAGTGTTTATTCCCCAGTAATATGAGATGTCTATTGTAAGGGTTGTCGTAGAGTTCAGACTGAAGTACTGAATATATATATATATATATATATATATATATATATATATATATATATATATATATATATATATATATATATATATATATATATATATATATATAGTTACTTTATATCATTCATGAAAATTACTTTTCTCCTACTTAGCCAAATTATCCTTTTTTCTTTACATTATTTTCCCTAGTTGACGTTTGTCAGTGGACCTCCAACTTCAGTCTCTTTAGCTGATCAGCCGTCTGATTCAGTCTCTTGATTTTAAAATAAAAAAGATATCCTAAATAATTCCATTTTTTATTTCAAGTCTCTGTATGTATCTGCTTGTTGTTTATGTATGTATGCTTGTATTCAATTGTCAATGTGTATACACACTCAACTGTTTATCCAGTATTCTACTGTTTATTTCTTTCAATAACTGAATATCTGCCTTCGAAAGCTAATGTATGAACAACTTGGCAATTTTTCTAAAAGTAAAACTCATTGTTGTTGTTTTCTAATCCTTTATTGTCTGTGTTGCTGATTCCCCATCTTTTAATACCATTTATCGCTATTATTACCAATAGATTTCCTGATGATAGCATTGTTTTACCAAAGTGGTTTCTATTGTACTGTATTCTTCAATTGTTGACTTTCCTTATTATACTGCTGATATATGTATTCATTTGCCGTATCATACTATTCACAGCACAAAATTACAACTCATATACTATTATTAATTAGCTAAGCAACCATTGAACAAGATTCGCTTTTTTACCCTCTTGTTTACATCATAGCGTTTTGTCTATACACATATCTTATCATAATTATTTGCTTTTTTTTCTCTATTCCCTGATGATTAACGGATTTCAATCCTATAATGTTTATAAAATTATGTATTCTTCAATCAAAATAATTCAGTGTATTATATCATTTTATTCTGTGTTATTGTTCTTAGTGTCGATGATGTGGAGCTGTGACTCACTGGTTTAAGGAGGTGATGAGTATCAATCAATTCGTCATGGGTTCGAACCCCGCTCCACCTACCGAAGTTTGGACAGTCAGGTAGTATCAATAGTCCCTGCACAATAAGTTTGGCTCATGGATATGCAAAAGGGTGGTTCAGTGCGTACCGACGAAAATAATTGCTTTCGGACTAGGAAAGCAAGTCACTTTGAACTATTTAATGTTTACGACGATGCGTCTACTGTTGTTTTTGTTAGCTGGTTGATGAGGTTGACTCTTAACCTATCTATAAGCAAGAATTCAACTTCATTCTACTTATACTTCCTTATGTAGTATTCACAGCCTAGTATTAATTTCCAGAAGATAATTGTTTGTTCCTTCGTCCCGTGCAAATTTCCAGGATATCTGTACACTTTAAATCGAAGTACGGGTTATTAAGTTTATTGTGGTGTTGTAGTCCAAGTTTTAGTGATATATATTCAGAATGAGGTGTTCATAAGATTCAGTATCAGTCAGCTTGATATCCACATACACTTTCAACTATTTTACACCTAGACTTCTTCAGTTTGTAACAGTTATTTGTGTGTTCGACTGTAGCTAAACTGTTATGAACTTATCGGACCAACCTTGGAATATCTATTTACTTTATTAAGAAGTATCTTAACAACATTTTCTGTTAGCTCTAGGGAAAAACTATGTTTTATGACCATCATATCAGTGTGCAGAGTTGATAGGTCACATTAACTTTAAGTATACATCCACACGTCTTACTAATTAGTGGTCTGCCTAAAATTTAGGCTACCAAAAAGTTCCCATCATATATTACATCAAATTACTCTTTATTGTACTTGTTTTATTTATACGACTTATCGTAAAATGTACTCTCACACCTCTTCTGAATGTCTCCAATTTATCATCACTTTAGTTAACAACAAAACTGCCAAAAAATATCACAGTGGACTCTTCAGTTTGCAACAGTTCATTGCATAACTAACACAGAGGTGGTTAACAAGAACTGCAAACTTTTATGCTGATTGAATTGTCCTCCACCACCTAACTTGCAGGTACTTTTCCATTCGCCCTCCTGTACAGCAACATGCCCACAAACTAGACGATAAACTTAAAACATTTGGTCGTTGTGTATTAGTGTTTATCATACTGCTTTTATTAACATTACTTAACTGCGGTGATCATTTAATTTGAAAATACTGTAAACGGAGTAAATTTTTGGACGGTAAACTGAGAGTTCCATTCTATATTGAACAATACTGTCTCCATCTATCCATCTAAATCAACATAGGACAAGGCATTACTGTGTAATAGTCCGAGTTGTCACAGCTCATATCAGTACATCAAGTAAAAAGACAGTGAAGGGGAAAATGAAGATAAGAAAATTCAGTCAAAAGAAATGTGAAGTACTAAAAGAGAGAAAGAAAGAATGAGAAAATGGTGAGATTCGGTATAGCGTTAAGATAAGGTTTATGTGTGTATACATCTGCGCCACTGACATCGGTTCTCGGACATATCATCTAGAGTCTCCAACCACTGGTTTCTCTTGTCACGTTGACCCTAACCCGGCTAGCCTGCATCGCCCCACATGGCGCAAACCAACAGTCAGAGACTTCATACATTGGTGCCATATTTTAGTCTGGCCACCTCGGGCCCTTTTCCAGCCTGGACCTACTTCGGCCAACATGTGTGATGAGGCAATCGGTGACTAGGCATGCGTAACACATGTTCCAACCACCTCAGTCGATGAAGGTTCGGAACCGCGTTAACTGACTTACCTCTCCTCCCTAAAACTCTCCACCTGACTTCTATTTTACTCACGTGGTGAGACCACGGAATATGGCCTATACTGCGAAGGCAACGACGATCAAACACCTGAGGTCTCCTCATGTTTTACACCTTTAATGCCCATGTTTTAAAGCTATACAGTACAACAGACCGGACTGGTGTGCAATGGTTTATATATCAAATAGTATATATCAAGTGGAAATGATTCGACATCACCACCCAAATAGATGAACAACTCTACTACTCATTAAATCAAAGTGGATTGCTTTGATATAGCTGTAAGCGGCAAATATGGTGGGAACATCGTCTTTCCAACGATACTGTCATGTATCCTGAATTTGACAGATGAACTGGAACGGTAGTATGGCGAACAACTTACCATCCAGTTACTGAATCTAAATTCAATGGATCTCATCAGAAGACACAACATAACCTAATATCATCATTTTGACTATCTGAAATACTCGTGGTTTAGTAGACTATCATTGATACTGGGTGGTGATTGAAAGGGAAATAAAAATTTTGGCTGTGGTGTAGGATTCAATCAAGTGGTGGTAACGCGTCATGAATTCACATGACACTCGTAGCTCGATTAGTAGACCGCTCAGTTGCAAATTCCGTGGTCACTGGTCCGAATCCCGCCGCTGCACAAATTTCAATTATCACTTAGCATCAATAACCTAAGACCTTTGTTTAGAAAGCATTATTTGATTAGTTGTTAACATCCATTTTGAATAGAGTGAAACTTTCTTAAACCTTTTTATGGGTTTGAGCAAGCTCTATCCAGGTAAAAGTAATGATAAAATAATCCATTTGTGAAAAAATATTTTAGGTGTTCTTTAGAATATAGGATATTTTTTTATAGCTTATCAATATTCTAACAGCAAAAGGAAGTTCAAGCGGGACGCCTGCATACATTTAAGACAAACTAGAGTTGATCAATAGTAAAGAGGCGTTATTTTTGAAACTTGGAGGGTGCTGTGTAGCTGAAACGTTAACCAGATCGAGAAGATTTAGATTTCGCCGATGACTTATGTCTAATGTGACACAAACTTGAAGATCTGTAGGCGAAAACTAACAAGTTGGTAGAAGGAAGCAGCAAAGACAGGACTTCAAGTGAACGTAGAGAAGACAGAAGTGATGAAAATACCCAACCAATGCCACTACCACCAACAACAAGAAGCTCCAATCAGCATGAACGGGAGAAACTTGAAGAAAGTAGCCTCTTTCACCTATGTAGGCAGCATCGTCTCAACTACAGGCGGCACAGACGAGGACGTCAAAGCAGCCAGGATCGGAAAAGCAAGACAGGCGTTCATTAGCCTGAAACCAGTGTGGAGATCCACTGCCCTCAGCATGTGGAACAAGATCCGGATTTTCAACACCGACGTCAAATCAGTGCTTCTGTATGGCTCAGAGACTTGGCGTGTTACGAAAGGGATTTCCAACAAACTACAGACTTTCATCAACAACTGCCTACGCTGGCTCGTTACTGAAGCTCAGATGGATTGCCAGAAAGAATAAGCAACAAGGAAGTCACTGTGGCTGGCTGGCTGGCTGGCTGGCTGGCTGGCAACGAACCAACCAAGAAGCTATGGCTGAACAAATATGCAGAAGGAAGTGGAGATGGATTGGGCATACACTGAGAAGACCATTTGGGGACATCAAGCGTCAGGCCAGTCGCTCGAGTGGAACCCCGACGGGAAGCGACGAGTTGGGCGTCGGTGCCGAGGGTGACATGGAGGAAATGAGAGCTTGTGGGTGTCGTGGAGCCAGGTTCAAAATATTGCAGAGAAGAGAGTGGAATGGAGATGTGCTACTGAAGCTCTATATTCCATTAGGAACTCAAGGGACAAATAACAATAATAATTTGTTAAGATACTTGTAATTCTCCGTTATACTGCATAGAATTGATCTACCTCTGTTGTCATAGAGGTTTTTATGCGGATACTCTAGTGTCCCCTGAATCCTTATTGGTATGTTATCACCACTGACCTAGTGGATAATATTCCTCCATTTGGAGCTATGGCTATGCGGTCCCAGTCCCCGTGAGAACAACACACTAGAGTCCAGGCACATCCAGCTGACGAGTCTCAAAAAGGACGAAGCACGCATCCTGGGTTTCCCTACTAGCCACAACCAAGTCAGTCATCAGTCTTATATTGAGTCTTATGAATACTATTTGAGAGATTCACGACTTCATTTGGGAGCCGCAGTTCAGTATGCATAACAGTGACTGAGTGAAGAACTCATAGCATTCATCGGATTTTCGAAAGAGAAGACGAAGTACATTGTTATTGATTAAGCATATGTACGAGAGTATGATGTGATATGTATGAAAATACATCGACAAAATTGTGGATCTCGGAATTGTAATTACAACATAAATCACCATTTTACACTTAGTACAGGAAGTTACTCCTCTACGTTCTTCATGTGGACGTCAAGTATATAATTTGAAAGATATGACTTTTGAATCGTCTTCACTGAACATACCTTCTTAACTTGTTCAGCATTTGTATATACAAGAGTTGACAAGTGCTGTGTGATTTTAAACATTCACAATACCAATATAGTTTCAAATGTACGATAAATAGCGTATTTGATAATGCTATACATATATGCATAATTTTACATTCCATCTATTACCAAATAAACAATATGATAGTACATCATAACATACAAGAATTATTTTATTTAAATATAGTGATAGTCATCAGATGTCAATCTTTTCACCAAGAATATTAAAGAAAAGAAAAATTAATTTTCATTCAACTGTCCCATATTTTTGTGATATTGTTAGTGGATTTTGTAGATTACTTGGCTTTATTGAAGTTTGTTTTTCTTGTTGACCAATTTCATCGTTTAAATTAAATTCCATATTGTCATAACCTTGTTGTTCATTTGCTTCTTTAACAAGTATATAACCTCGACCACCAATTTTAGCGCTTATTTTCACACGTGCAAAATAAACGATATAAAGAACGACCTGTTCAATAAGGTGGAAATAATGTAGAAAAAGAAGGAACTAATTCATATTTAACAAAATCTTACAAAAAAAGTCTTTATTGTATCATACTGAGAAATTCATCAAATATATCTAGGTGTTTCAATGCATATTAACTTTAATTATTTCAAAAAAGGCTTATTAAAATAAGTGAATATTTAACTAATGTTTAAAACAACTCTAAAACAAAGTAGCTGAGCGAAGAAAAAAAATTTTTTTTCGATGAATCATTTTCACCAACTGTACACTAGTACTTATAGTAATAGCAAACAAACAGATTAGTCTATTATTGTTTCATTGGTCAACATTTAATCATCAATTCCATTTTAGTCTGTTTATTAGAAATATCACATAGTGAAACAGTAACATTTACTGGATAACGTTTCGGACACAATTCATTGTCCATATTCATATCAGGTAACTCCATAACTTCGAGACAGAGTTTATATATTCCTAGTTTTCTCTCCTTCTCTGTGATGACAAGGGTAGTAGAATTTTCCATATATCTGGGACAGGTGCACAATCATTTCGATTGCATGTACTTGGTGTTGATTCGATAAACGCAGATTCGGTTATCAATCTCTCCCTCCACCCAACTAAGTTAGTTTTCAACACTGTCGCCATATCCCACCCTACTGTCTGATTGTGTGTCATCACATGCAGAGCTATAGTCGAGTTTTTCTCTAGATTTCTTATCTTATTAGGAAGGATCTACAAATCTTGATTTAGCTAAGTTTTTGTGCTCTGTTATTCTAATCGACCCTAGTCGACTACTTTGACCAACCAACTTATGTACTTGACCTCGCAATCATTGCAAGGGAAGGGGTTTTTGGTAAACCAGATTATTTTGCTTAATCGCATCGATAGGATCTTTTAACTTACAAAGCTTGTTTCAAAGTGAGTTTGTTGGTTTGAATGCCACTCTAATGCCAGCCAGCCTTATTGAGAATTCTTCGTAGTGCCTCTGAGGTGCCTTCCTTGTATGGTAACACAGCAAAGGCTTTGAATTCTCTCTTAACCCTGTAGCCATTATTACCATTAGTAGTGGGGTTATTATTAATAACACCTGTATTACTATTGCTACCACTGCAGTGGTCAAGTGCATAGGTCAAAGCGGTACACCAGGGTCGATTAGAATAACAGAGCACAAAACTTAGCTAAATCAAGATTTGTAGATCCTTCCTAATAAGATAAGAAATCTAGAGAAAAACTCGACTATAGCTCTGCATGTGATGACACACAATCAGACAGTAGGGTGGGATATGGCGACAGTGTTGAAAACTAACTTAGTTGGGTGGAGGGAGAGATTGATAACCGAATCTGCGTTTATCGAATCAACACCAAGTACATGCAATCGAAATGATTGTGCACCTGTCCCAGATATATGGAAAATTCTACTACCCTTGTCATCACAGAGAAGGAGAGAAAACTAGGAATATATAAACTCTGTCTCGAAGTTATGGAGTTACCTGATATGAATATGGACAATGAATTGTGTCCGAAACGTTATCCAGTAAATGTTACTGTTTCACTATGTGATATTTCTAATAAACAGATTAAAATGGAATTACAATCGACCACAGTGCTCAAGTTTTACTCTTATATTAATTTAGTCATCAAACGGAATATTCTTGGGTGAAATAGTGAATCGATTATAGAGTTACAAAAAGGTTGCGTAATCAAGCGAGTATAAGTAAAATATGCAGTAGATTGATGGGATGACTAATAGGTTAAAAAATAAACAGGTCACATATAATATTATATATAATATATATAATATTATTGATTATAATCAAGAATATGGGGGAAGTATAGTGAAAGTTTTAGTGGGAAGTTAGGGCTAACTTGTTAAGATATGTGAAAGTAAAATTTAAAAAGTAATGATAATCAGTTAGTAAGAGTAAGATGAACAAGGAAATTCAAGGAAGAATTATTACCACCGGAAAATAAGAGAATCGACGTATTTCCTCTGTGCACAGAGCTCCGAGTTTAATTGTTAGATTGCCAACACCTCTGCTACACATTAGTGACGAATCTGTACTCCTTTTACTCCATTTTGTCTTGATTTTGTATGCGATTTTGAAAGAAGACTGGGTAAGCAACATGACCATAGTTGATTAAATGATCGAAGATGGAATTGTTGCTAGACTTGTGTTCTCATCTGGACAACTACACAGAATAGTGCTCGGAGATCCGTTTGGAAAGACTGGGCTTTGTGCGGCCTACATAACTAGCTCCACAAGAGTAGGTAAACTGATAGACACACATAGGTATGGCGTAAAGTGGTGGTTAGTCCCTCACGCTACCTTGAATCACTTGTCAGCTGGAGAAGAAAATCCGCAGTTCAACGGCGTAGAATATTTTTCCGCCTACTCTAGAGAGAGACTAATTTTTAATATTCCTACTGCGTCGTCCCCTCTGAGTTCAATATTCATGAATAGTATCTCCTTAGGAATAGTAAGAACTTGTTGTTGTCGTTTAGGCTTTATGTTTTTTTTCGTGATGAATCTTGGGGGTAGCCACTCTGAACAAGTACTTGTTCACTCATAACCTGATTTCCAACTTAGTTCCACTTTCTTTCCGGAGGTTTGTAGAGATGTATTAATTGATTTCAAGTTGGAATTCATCATGGACTGACATCAGTTAGAGGGACATTGGAAACCTGATGTCAGTCCTTGATGAATTTCAACCTAAAAATCAATTAATAAATCTCCACAAACCTTCAGATAGAACTAATCTAGGGCTCATTGGTGATTAGCTTCGAGAGGTGATTCCTGAAGTCTAATGGAAAGTCGTAACGAGTGCAGTCAAACACGTCAAACATGAGGACAGTTACTCAACGACGACAGTGGACGAAGGTCGTGCTATATCGCGACCCAGTGGCTCAATGGTAACGTGCTGGACATGGAAACTAAAGGTCCTGGGTTCGATCTCTGGTGGTGCGGGGTAATTGATGTGCACTGCTGAGAAGTCCCATACCAGGACGAAACAGCTATCCAGTGCTCCCAGATATTCAATGTCTCTCCAACTGATGTCAACCCATGATGAAGTCAAACCTAAAATTAGTCTTACTTTGTTTATCAACACATATCACAATAAGCAGTGCCTCGGTATGCGTAACATTGGTAAAACTTGGAAATCTTGACTAATTCATTCAGCCTAGTTACAATAATAAACACACAATTAAATGTAGAAGCCAACGGAGTAATATAATATTATAATCAATTTGGAAATATCTCACCTTGTAGAGCTAACTTACATGACATAAAATAGACGTCATCAAACCGCTAAGACATGCTAGCGAAGTAGATTTTGGTTTATCCCATTCAATACCTGGATAAATTTGTCCTATACCATAAGCACCTTTACCACGAAATAACCAGAACAAATAAGTGAAAAAACAATACAGGAGACCAGCTGTAAAAGGATAGATGACGTGCAGCATACGAACTGGTATTGCACATAAGCATAAATCAATCAAAACTATGATTCCAGTTAACGAATGTTTAACCCGACCTTGCCAACTTGTAAACACATCTGCAAACAAAAATGTTTTTTAAAAAGTCATGCATTCCGTTAAAATAAAGGAAATTATCATATAAAATTTCAGTCCAATGTGCATTATACAGCCAGGTCTATTTCCTCACAGTTATTTTTCACTTTCGAGGCTTGTGGGGATTTATTGATTGGTTGCAGGTTGACATTCATCATGGACTGAAATCACATAGACATCCATTGGAAACTTCGATCTGGGATATTTGATTATTACTACCAATAATAAAACACCGAATTGATCTGTTTTCATGTTAAATACCTTATATTTCACTACGCATTTAACTTCTTTGAATGGACACTCATTCTGTTATTACGCAACGTCCATTCATTTCGTACTGTGAAGATAATGGAACTATCTTTATCAACAAACATCAATTGGTAACATTTTATAGGAATCAATCGATTGTTAAGTCTTCATTACCATTTTTGTTCTCCTTTATAGCAGAACTGATGACATCCAAAAGCATAGTGGATACAGTCTTACCATATTATTGAAGTTCTTTACATAGAATCAATATAATATTATACTACAAGTGTTGTATATGAATCGATCACGTGATGACAAGGATCTTTATTGACCTAAATCTATCGAGAAATTCGTGTTAATTAGCTGAAAGTAGTCACTAATGTTCATTCAAAGAATATGCATGAAAATGATCAATACTATCTGTAAAACTTTTGATTTGTTTTATTCATTTACAAACCGACATTATTTCAAACTTAGCCTGAATAATTTTTTTTAAAAAGAGATATATGTTTCAATATGTGAAATATATCCATCACGTTATGAAAGAAGTACCAATACTTCAATAAAGAGTCTCCTTTCGGTGATTTCATTTTCAAAGCTGTACAATCTCAAATTTATACATTTTTCTAGTGTCAGGATGTTATATTCTAAAGAAAATCCTGATTGAAAACGGATTCCCTCCACGCTTCATAGACAAAAATTTCAAGCCTAAACCTCGCAAAGAGAACCTTACCACCGTAAGAAAGGAGGAGGAGGAGGAGGATATCAAAGGCTCTTAGGAGAACATTCTTTGTATCAACGATGAGACTATTCTCTTGTCGCCCAACGATATCTAACAAATCAACGGAGAAACTTCCACATACGACCACTTCTATGTGCGCATATAAATTTACCTGCTCTTGTGGAACCAGGCATGTAGGTCGTTCAATGAAACTGTTAACCAAAAGGCTTCAAGAGCACTATCCCGCATGGTTACAAACAGATAACAATGGATCGATAAGCAGCACTATAATTGAACACATCGTGAACACAAATCACGCTATGTCAAGAAGCTCCTCGTTCAACGTCATCTATAAAGTAAAAAGAAACCTTCCATAGGATGTTTGTCTTTGTATTTGCTGCATCGCCGAAACTCTTGCTATCCATATGGGGAAACCTGGACTGTGTACGCAAAAAAGATTGTTCAACCCATTCTCCTTTCATGGTCTTAGCTTTCAGCTCTCCATGTTAAGAAACGTCTTGTCCAAACTTATTTCTTTGAATATTCACTACTCATCAGTTTTTTGATTTTAATGACAGCTTATGTATTGACACTATTTATGTTGCCATGCTTGACAAAACGTTTTTAACTTACGAATCTTTACACTAGAAAAATATGATTTTGCGATTGTACAGCTTTGGAACTGTCACCCATGATCTTCCTAGTTGTGGTGGACTGGGTCATGCAACAAACCATGAGGAGCGAGAAGAGGTGGATACGCTGGACCGGGGAACAGATGCTAGAGGATTCGGACTTTGCCGATGACTTGTGTCTAATGTCACACAAACTTGAAGATCTACAGGCAAAATCTAATAAGTTGACAGAAGAGGCGAGGCAGCGAAGACGAGACTTCAAGTGAACATAGAGAAGACGGAGGTGATGAAGATACCTAACCAAGACCACCACCACCAACAACAACAAGCTCCAATCGCCATGAACGGGAGAAATGTAAAGGAAGTTGTTTCTTTCACCTACCTAGGCAAGGCAGCATAGTTTCAACTACAGGCGGCACAGATGAAAATGTCAAAACCAGGATGAAAAAGACAGCAAAACAGGCATCCCTGCATTATTCTGAAATCAGTGTGGAAATCTACTGCACTGCACTCAGCATAAAGCATGAACAAGATGCGGATTTTCAACACTAATTCAGTCAAGTAAGTTAGTGCTTATATATGGTCCTGAAACGTCTAGCGTCATGAAAAGCATTTCCAACAAACTACAGACATTCATCAATAGCTGCTGTCTACACTGGATACTAAGGCTGAAAATCAGATGACCAGAATAATGTGAATAAGCAACGTGGAATTCTGGGTGTCTGACTGGGAATGAGGCAACGAAGTAAGAACCGATCTCCCAACAAATATGTATAGGGAAGTGTAGATGGATTGGACTGGATTGTGAGTGAGATGGCCTATTTGGGACATCAGGCGTCATACCAGACCAGAGGGTGTAGTGGAATCGGAAGAGGAGACGACGAGTTGAGTTTGGTGTCTGAGGTGAGGTTGACATGGAGGAGATGATGTGAGGAAGAACTGGGAAGTTGTGGGTAGTTGTGTAGTCAGGTTGAAAAGAGTGGAGAGAAGAGAGTGAAGTGGAGACGTGCTACTGAACCTGTATGCTCCAGTAGGTACTCTGGGGATAATTAATAATGATAAATGCAGCTTTGGAAACGGAATCACCGAAAAGGGACTTTTCATTGAAATTCTTGTTCTTCTTTCAGTTATATATTTTACTCGAATAATTAAAAACTCAGCAGTCGAAATTATTAAGTGAACTTTCATTGGAAGATTTTGTATACTTCTGATATAGTTTCAATACATTATACCCTGTAAAAACTTCTTCAAGTTCTGCTATAATTCTTCTTTGGTATTGATTTGATGACATTAAGTCAAGGGTAGATAGTTTTCATAGCAATGAGAACAATATTTCACCAACCGATAGAAGTGTTCTCACTTAGGTGAGAAAAAAAAGTAATAACTAATATATTTTTTCAGCTAACATTCTATGAAATTTCATGAAAGTATTGGTTATCAGTAGTTGTAAAGAAAAACTCAATACACAACAGTGTTTAACTCTCTAGAAGGTTTTATTACAGTTAGAACTTAAGATCTCAACATTTGATATTTATTAGCTGTAGAACAGCTTCAGTGTAGTACAGAATCACCAAGATTCTTTAAACGACACCAAGGTAAACAAGCTGCTTGTTGTATCATGTTTTGCAAGTTTTACAATGAAAATAATTAGGACTTAACTTACTTTTTATAATAAACCAGAGAGTAAAAAGTTCAGGATTGCTTTGTGCAACAGACGATAAGTTTTGACAGAAAACCTTTTTTTACTAGAGTGAACTATCTGAGGAAAAAAAACTAGTCAAAGAATACTTTGCATAATGACAGATAAATAACTAGTTTTCTGTTAAATGTTAAATGTCTTGCTGATGAAAATTGAACAAGTTGTTTGGTTGATCTAGTCAAAACGTATTCTAAAGCATATTCTTTTGTGTGATCAATGTATTCAATACTGACAGTTAATTCATATTTATTTGACATTTAGGTATAATTGGATAGCCGTAAAAATAGTACTAAAATAAAAAAGCTGCTTTCTGTCTGCCTGATCCTATGCTGAAAAACTTGTTACTAATTATAAATTTATACCCATTTGATAGCAAACTTGAACTATGCTGTGAAAATAACCAAGTTTTTCTCAATTAATGACATGGATAGGCGTTATTTACTTAGGTGTCTGGAAATTTAAATTTTCAAAGATTTTTCAGCTAACTTTATGAAACAAAACGTAATGAAATGATGAAGATTATCTAAAACACTTAAGGTATTATTATTATTTATCACTTTCCCCTCAAATTCCTAGTGGAACATACAGGTTCAGTAGCACGTCTCCACTTCACTCTCTTCTCTCCACTCCTTTCAACCTGACTACACAACTGCCCACAACTTCCCAGTTCTTCCTCACATCATCTCCTCCATGTCAACCTCACCTCGGATGCCCAACTCATCGTTTCCCCTTCCGTTTCCACTCCACCGTCTGGTCTGGTATGACGCCTGATGTCCCAAATAGGCTATCTCACTCTACATCCAGTCCGGTCTATCTCCAAACCTTTTGCAGTAGTGGTGTGAGCATGTCCGCTGTTGTCTTTGCGGCTGTTTTCAATGCTTCAGGAGGAATTCCATCTGGTTTCAGTTTTATGGCATTCACGACTTCTGCTTTTGTCGGAGGGCATGCGTTCACTTGTAGTTCCGATATTGCTGGTGATATTTCTGGACGAGTTGCAGGTGGTGGTCGATTCAAGAGTTTTTTTGAAGTGCTCAGCCCATTGTTTCCTTTGTTTCTCTTCTTTGGTAACTAGCTTTCCTTCACTATCTTTCCTTGGTTTCGTCTGCGTGGATCTCTTTCCGGATAGTAACCTGGTTATTTGATATAATGTTGTCAAGTCTCTGTCTCTCCAACCTGGCAGCTGTTCTGCTTCACTTGCCAAAGTGTCGTAGAAGTGTCATACATTTCGAACAATCTGATCACACATCAACTTGTCAAGCTATTCATTTGAAAATTCAAATTAGATCAATTCAGCCAGTAGGAAATATAAGAATTCGAAGGGTAGAACAAAACACTTGGTATGCATACTGAAATCAACACTAACACTGTAGGTTCAAAGTGAGTACAATTTGCTTTCGTATTCACAAAGGGGAGGGTGTAAATTTGTAGATGGTTACAGCTTCGATAAATTTGAGTACCTGCCATTGACTACTTCCATGCAATGAATGATTTAAAGGTTGTTTTAATGTTCCTCCTATGACTAGTATTTGATAGTAGACGAGGAGGCATATTTGTCACCTGAACATATTAGATCATATGAAGTCCTTTGTTTCTGGAACCAAATATGTTCATGTTTAATCATCCTCAAATGCATTTCACGAATACTCATCCTTATGTATGTGTGTCGGCACATATATTGATATATTGATAAACACAGTGAAGTGAGACGCAATCGTTTATATGCTGTTTTAGTTTATTGTTTTAGCATGGAGTTTGTCATCCCCACAACAATGACCTTGACACATTAGATTTGTTAATTTGATATACGGCACACAGTGATACAGTATTATTTAATTGATGACGTTTCTAGCATATCAATGGAATCACACCACTTTCCATATCTGATTTTTATAGTCCCATTTTCAGATATTCTTTGCTTTTATTGGTAGTAAAATTTTCCATATGTCTGGTATAGATGTCGCGTCTTTTCTAGTACGTGTTGAGTGCGCACCCATGACCCCGCCAGGGATCGAACCCGCGACCTTCAGGTTCCAAATCTCCACAACTCCCTTGAAAATTTAATTGACTAAATTTAGTGACTAGCTTCGAGAAGTATTCCCGAAGTTCCAATGAGAATTTGTGACCGGTGGAATAAAAGCCTGATGGCCGTGGGTACAGATATTCAACGATGACATTGGGTGGCGGTTGCGCTATATCGTGAGCTAACAGAAGTTGGAAATATGGAGCATTGGGTTCTGACCCAGTGGATTAATGGCAACGCGCTGGCCGCGTAACCTGAAGGTCGCGGGGTCATGGGTGCGCACTACTGTGGAGTCCTATACTAGGACGAAACAGCTGTCCAGTGCTCCCAGGTCCCGTTTGTTCCTCCAACTGATGTCAGTCTACGATGAATAACAACTTGAAATATTTCCAAATCTCCACAACTCCCTCAAAATATACATGTGTTGAGTGCCGATTCGATGAAGAAAGATTTAGTAATCAACCTCTCTCTTTCCACCTTACCATACATGACTACTAATGTAGTGGGTGCTACTGATCAAAATGAATATAAGTAGTATATGTTGGGAGGGAGGCAGAAATCATAGGGGATTACCAGCAATGGGTAAAGATTCTGCCCAAGGAAACGCAAGATACAAGGTGAACGTATTAAAAGAAAATCGAGATAGAAGCATAAGAGGAAATGAAGCACATTGTGCAAATGACTCTCTTAGTGGAAGGTGTTCAATATTTGATGACTGCTGTACTAGATGTCAATAATGAACATCCCTTCCTGCTTCTCAGTCTTCTCGTTTTCTCCACTACCAGTAAAAACAAAGAATTCCATGTGGCACCAGGTTCAAAAGACCGTATTTTTTGTGCACTTTTAAAGCTCACTGGCGCTTCATAAGCTATTTTACGAAATTTTCGCTGTTGAATAGTGCATATATGATCCGTATAGTAGAAAGTGAATACTATATTGTACAAACTATGACATGCTGACAGTATGTATGATTACCAGTCACGTAATGCTTACCGCTGACAAACATAGAGACATCTTATACAACAAGAACTATAAGTGATGTGCTTTATCCAAAAACAATAGTGAACCGTTTGCTGAACCCATAATTATGATGATCATGTATCGGGATGAAAGTGCTTATCTGAAGTTCAACAGACAGGATATAAACCCATCGATCTCAGTGTTGTGAGATAATGCTTGACAGTGAAGGTGTTATCACTCAGTCACATTTCAGCTTTGCTCTCTTTTTGATAGTTTAATTTGGTCGGTATTCATCATGGACTGACATCAGCTGGAGAATCATTAAAAACCTGGGAGGACTGGATATCTGTTGCGTCTTAGCATGCGAATCCTCAACAGTTCACATCCACAACCATGCCACACAAAGGATTGAACACAGGACCTTCAGGTTTCGTGGTTAGCGCGTTGTTGATCAGTCAGTGGGTTGGATTCCAGTGGTCTACACTTCCTACTTCTGTTAGTTCATGATACACATTTATATACAAAAGTACCTGGTAATAGATGAATGTAAAATTACGCATATATGTATCGCATTATCAAGTACGCTATTTATCGTACATTTGAAACTATATTGGTATTGTGAATGTTTAAAATCACACAGCACTTGTCAACTCTTGTATATACAAAATGCTGAACAAGTTAAGAAGGTATGTTCAGTGAAGACGATTCAAAAGTCATATCTTTCAAATTATATACTTGACGTCCACATGAAGAACGTAGAGGAGTAACTTCCTGTACTAAGTGTAAAATGGTGATTTATGTTGTAATTACAATTCCGAGATCCACAATTTTGTCGATGTATTTTCATACATATCACATCATACTCTCGTACATATGCTTAATCAATAACAATGTACTTCGTCTTCTCTTTCGAAAATCCGATGAATGCTATGAGTTCTTCACTTAGTCACTGTTATATACGCTTAACTGCCACTTCCAAAGGAAGTCATGGATTTTTCTAAAATGGTTTTCTTAAAAACCAATATCATGCTGACAATTTATCTAGTTGTGGCTAACAGACGAGTCGATGTACACACTCACTTCGCTCCTCATGCTGAAGAAGAAAACGCTGTTACTGATGGAACTTTTATACCTAGCCACAATTTGTTGATTTGCAAATTATCTTCTGTTCTGCACCATATTGCATCCATCTTTTTTGTTTCACATTGCCATGATATACTGTAGGTTTATTTTCGTTAAGTCCTCACCAATCGATCGTTTTGATTTTCCACGTCGCCATATATACTACTTATTTGCATCGTAATAAGTAGCTCTCATTATATTAGTACTTGTAGTAGAGATATCGGGCCTATTTTCATTTATGAACCCACATGACTACTGATATGGACTTAATATTCACTTGAGCACAATTATTGAGTTATATTGTTAAATAATGAGCTAAATAGTTGCACAGTGTATGTTCCGAGGAATTCTAATTAACAGGGTTTACTAGTGTATACAGTGGTGGCTATAGTATCACGAATGAAACCCCCAATAGAGTATATTATTAGCATGTAATTACATATACGTATATGAAGAAAAAACTAATACCAATGGCAACAGTAAACTGTTATATGAAATGATAAATTAAACCCACCCATTGAACTATTAGATAATGCGAACCAAAAGACGACACAAATCACCAATACAGATGTTGATGCCAAATTATAAAGAAACCATATTGGTTGATAAAATCTTGGTTCACTTGGAAAATCTATGAATGATATAGAAGATTGAAGAAATAAAATATCATGTTCATGAAGATGAATAGTACTCAAGTTATTTTTAAAAGGTTAATTCAGTAAAATGATGATGTTACGGAGATGAAATGGATCCATATTCCAGATCAGTCATTTTACGACTGTTTTATAGATGACTCCTGGAAAATCTTCTTTGATAAAAAAAAAGGATAGAAAGATCGCATTTTTTGTTTTCACTGTTTGTTTCAATATATGGTTAGCAATATAGCTTTTTCTGAATGATATCTTTGAAAAGAAATACATTCACCGAAGTTTCTCTTTTATAACTCATTGGGTTGATTTAAGCCTCTGTTACACTGCGTTAAACAAGGCTTCGTTAGAAATCTTTCCATCTCATTGGTTGTATCGTTTCATCATTTAAGTTATCCAATCCAAATTCTTTTGGCATTTATTCCGAAGTATAACAGTCACGAAGCTTTATATTCAGTTGTTAGAAATAATCGGCTAAACATGATATAACTTATAGTACTGCCGAAGAGTCACATACTAAGACGAAACAGCTGTCCAGTGCTCCTAGATTTTCAACTGTTCCCCAAATGGTATCACTCTGTGGTGAATACTACCTCTAAATTAAAAAACCCATTTATATCAAAAATACATTACTGTACGGTGCTCATTAGTGACATGTTTCCAGATTGATATCATGAAGTTCTAATACGAAGCCATGACCTGTGACGTCAAACAGTTGGAAGTGAAGCGGATTCCAACTGAAGACCTTGGATGATAGTCGCGCTATATCGTGAGTTTGCAGAAGTTAGGAAATGTGGACCATTGGAAGCCGATCACCCAATGACTGAATGGTTAACGCGTTTACCGTAAAATCTGAAGGTCCTGAGTTCGACCGTTATCCCGGCCATGGGTGCGTTCTGCCGACGAGTTCCATACTAGGACGAAATAGCTGTCCACTACTCCCGGATTTACAATCGTTCCCAAAATGATATCAGTACGTGATGAATACTACCTCTAAACATATAGTTGTGTTTGTTTTGCTTTAAGCACTGCTCATTAGCTATCGACTGACGAAATACACACATTTATTCCTGAATAAGAACAAGAATTGTATCAGCGAAGAAATATTTCTTATCAACGACTTCATTATCAAGATGTACAGTCGTATTTATACTCAGTAAAGTGACAAATAAATAAATAAAATATACAATGGGTGTATGTGGTATAATGTATTGTATGTTGTATATTTTGGATATTGACTGAGCAACTTTTTAGTGCAATTATTTGTCATTTTACTGAGTATAAATACGACTGTACAGCTTGATAATGAAGTTGTTGAAAAGAAATATTTCTTTGCTGATACATGTCTTGCTCTTATTAGCTATCGCTTTATCTTTCAAGGAAGCTTAATTTTAGTGGATATTTGTTCTGCTCTCTTGAGCTTACTTAATCAAAAGTTGGTAATATGTGGTAGTCTATTGACACCTTTTTGATCAATGGTGATAAATGTAGCCACTGGGGCATGCGTGTTGTTATTGTCAGATGAAAAGACAAGATATTTATCTCATGTAACTGAATTTTTATGTTATCTAGATGAAAAAGGATTTTTATTTGCTTCAAGCCTGTTCATAAATTTAATCGGATTAACGTATTCGGTCAAAACCAATTCCTTAGCTCGAATATTTCTGGTAGACTGTATGACGAAGAGTGGTCGCATTCAAAATCAATTACATTCACTACCAAAGTAGATTCGTGCTCTAATATGTCACAATAGTTACTTTATTGAAACCGCCTTTAGATTATAGGCTGTAGAAGAAGTTAACAAACTGAAATATATCTGTTATAATTTCTCTAGGTGGCTGGAAGAAGGATAGAGGACGCGCGTTTCATCCTATCCGAGACTCGTCAGCTGGATATACCTGAACCTCAGTGAAATACAACTGACTTTAGGATTAGTAGTGATATCATGTTTTCGATTAGTAGGCAAAAAAGTCAAATTAACTTTCAACTCTTCAAGTGAAGAATAGATCATATAACACAGTAAAACTAAAACAAATGCAACCTGTTTGAAGCTGCAAACGACACAATAAATGTGATAAAACTCTTTTACTAGGCACCAGTTGTGCAAAGTGTCAATCTGAAAGCGTATTGATTGTGAACCTATTAAAAGTTCACGTCATTATGTGTTATTGACCTTTTATTTCTTCAGCATATTGTTATCATTCGTCTGATATGCAAAAATGGACAGTAAATTATGTTCAGAACGTTATCCAGTAAACAGTACTGTTTCACTGTATGATATTTCTAATGAAGAGACTAAAAGAGAACTAAAATCCACCACAGTGTCCATTTTTTTTATTCCTATGTAAGCGTTCCTGTTTTATGACTGATTCTGATGCAGCTGTCTGAGATATAATTAGAGTTTACACTGATTAATCACTGGAAAGTAAACAAAGTGGTATTGTCTAGTCCCTAATTATGACCAAGTTTTATTGATCGAATTTATGATCTGGTAACCAATCTGAGAAACTCGTCGTAGATGGGAACTTCAACAGGTTTTCAGATCTTAGTGAACTTATGCCACTACAAGTATTCTCATCCACCTCATCTAATTCTGCAGTAAAAGAGATGTTCACATTGATCTGTTAAAGTTACAACTCACCGCTTACAGTTCCATATTTTTTCGATCTGTCATTTTTTATGACTTCAGGATTGGTGTGGTACGTCTCATACCTCTCAATTTTAACATTATTCACGAAGATCAGAAATAATTATCAGCAGTTAAAGTGCTCATATATAACGACCGGAACATGCTGGATTCAGGAAGTACAAATCATGTGCTGATCAAACTGCAATTCTACACATTATCGTAGAACAAGGCGTAGAGTGGCAACCAACTTTTTACACCGACTTCATCGACTTTGAAAAGGCCTCTGACAGCATCGATCGAGAAGTAGTTTGGCAGCTGCTCCAACACTACGGAATGCCACAAACACTTATCAATCTCATTCAACAGCTATATGAAGACTGATGATCTTCCTGGTTGTAGTCGACTGGATAATGTAGCGAACCGTGAGGAGCGAGAAGATGGGCCTACGTTGGCTAGACCGACGAAAATACTTTGGAAGATTTGGATTTTGCCAATGATGATTTGTGTCTTATATCGCACAAACTCGAAGACCTCCAGGCAAAAAACAACAAGTGGTCAGAAGAGGGGAGGCAGCGAGGTGGGACTTCAAGTGAATGCAGAGAAGACAGGGGTGACGAAGATACCCAACCAACAACAACAAGCTTTAATGACCATCAACAGGAGAAACCTAGAGGAAGTAATCTCTTTCACCTATGTAGGCAGCATCGTTTTAACTACAGGTAGCACAGATGAGAATGTCAAAACCAGGATCAAAAGGACAGCAAAACAGGCATCCCCGCATTATTCTAAAATCAGTGTGCAGATCTACTGCACTGCACTCAGCATAAAGCATGAACAAGATGCGGATTTTCAACACTAATTCAGTCAAGTAAGTTAGTGCTTATATATGGTCCCGAAACGTGTGGCATCATGAAAAGCATTTCCAACAAACTACAGACATTCATCAATAGCTGCTGTCTACACTGGATACTAAGGCTGAAAATCAGATGACCAGAATAATGTGAATAAGCAACGTGGAATTCTGGGTGTCTGACTGGGAATGAGGCAACGAAGTAAGAACCGATCTCCCAACAAATATGTATAGGGAAGTGTAGATGGATTGGACTGGATTGTGAGTGAGATGGCCTATTTGGGACATCAGGCGTCATACCAGACCAGAGGGTGTAGTGGAATCGGAAGAGGAGACGACGAGTTGAGTTTGGTGTCTGAGGTGAGGTTGACATGGAGGAGATGATGTGAGGAAGAACTGGGAAGTTGTGGGTAGTTGTGTAGTCAGGTTGAGAAGAGTGGAGAGAAGAGAGTGAAGTGGAGATGTGCTACTGAACCTGTATGTTCCACTAGGAACCCAAGGGACAAATAATAATAATAATATATAACGCCAAGATAAAGATGCTGGGATTACGTTCTCGAATAGTTGCTATTGTGTTCACCAGATTTTGCCTATTTTATCAGATCAATAGTTTTCGATGTCAATGAATCAGAAAAATTCAACCAATCAAACAGAAAAACAGCTCTCTAAGCTGTTGAGGAAAAGATAAATGAATCAATCATTAGTAAGGATCTCTATGAGCAACTTCACCCTTCTATCACCATTACTACACATTTATGTGGTCTACTGAAATTGCACAAAGATGGCATCCTTCTCTACCTAATACTGAACATAACGAACTTCCCATACTACATAGTTGCAAAGTGACTCTTAGCAGTTCTTGAACCTGTAAAAAGACGGCTCTTGAAAGTCTTTCCGATGCTTTCGAGTTTATTGAGTCAATCAAAGATTAATCTATCCTAAAGAAGAATGGTGTTTTGGATATCGTGTCATTATTCACAAACGTAACGTTAACGGAAACAGTTTGTTTCTTGTGCAGCCTCGCCTAACCCAAAAAACTAGATATTGGCATTCAGTCAAGATTTAATACTGAAATTTATAAACAAAAAGGGAGCGGTGTATCAATGGGATTGCCTCTTGGATCTCTACTTTCCAACTGTTTCCTGACTCGCCTTCAGAATAGTGCACTACTCCAAACAGTCGATCAACTTCATTTATGTAAAAGATACATGAACGATACCTTCAATGTTTGTAATTGCGACCTGGTCCTGGAACACCTTCAAAATTTCAGCTACAGCTAGCCTTCATTAAAATTTACACTGGAAACTCGATCAAGCTAAACGTTTCATTTTCTCGAAATCGGACTCCAAAGAAGGCTTGATAATTTCATCGATGTATAAATGTACAAGAAACCCACTCAAAATGGGCAACTGATCAACTTTCGAAGTCGAGCGCTTTTAGGCAGGAAGGAGAATCTTGTCTGCTTATGAAGAATAAGGACGAAATAGAGTGATGATACACTTGTT